GAGAGATAGAAATCTAGTTTTAGTCTTCTACACATAGTCATCTAGTTTTCCCAACACCATTGTTGAAGAGGGCTTGTTTGTTGTATGGGCTTATTTCTGGGTCCTTTCTTCTGTTCCATTGGTCTATGTCTGTTTTGTACCAGTACCATGCTGTTTTGTTACTTCAGCTCTGTAGTATAGTTTGAAGTCAGAAATTGAGGTACCTCTAGACAAATGGTAAGGTTTTTGGAGCTTTGTGAGGAGTCAGATCTTAGTGGATTTGGCTTAGGATGAACATTGGTAGTGAAGTACATAACACTGTTAAGTGTTATTCCACTTAGATGAATGAATGTGAATAAAACACTAAAATTAGCACCAGTGGTTTTCATTACAGTATTTCCAGAATTGAAAATTGAAAAAAGAACAATTGAACAAAGGACATTTGAATTAATAAGTTTTAACATTTATTGATTATTTAGTGCTAGTTCCTGTATAAAATGCTTTATACATGATATATTTCTCACAGCAACTACTTGAGGATATAATTATAACTCTGTCCTATAAAAAGGAAGAGTCTAACTGGGCACCAGTGGCTCATGCCTGTAATTCTAACTACTTGGGAGACTGAGATTCGGAGGATCATGGTTCAAGGCCAGCTCAGGCAAATAGTTTGTGAGACTCTCATTTCCAAAATAACCTGATCAAAATGGACTGGAGGTGTGGCTCAACCAGTACAGTGCCTGCTTTATAAGCCTTGAGTTCAAACCCCAGTTCTACCAGAAAAGAAAAAAAACCGTAGAGTTTTATTCCTAACTCCCATTCCCTTTAGGATGGACAGGCCTTGTTAGATACTGTGTTCTCTGTTCTGTGCTTAGTTTTTTCTTAAAAATATATATTGAAGATTTTCACTAACATAATTTTCATTCTTAATACATTGTGAATATTTCCACATCATTAAATTTTCTAGGAAAGTATGATTTTCAATAGTTTCAAAATATTTCATCATGTGGATAAAGCCATAATGGCCTCACATAATCCTTGCAATTTGACATGCAGGTTGCCTCTAATTATTTATCACTGTAAGTACTACAGTCAACATATATAGCATTGATTTTGGCTATGTGGTATTCCACTGTGTGTCTGTATCATCAATTGCTTATGTGTAGGCCCTGTGTAGTCAGGGAGGGCTTTAAGGATGAAATGCAATTTAAACTGAACTTTGAAAAGTTGGTTGGTTTCTGGTCAAAGAGGACATTCAGGGAAAAGGATAAGATACACACAGGCTCAATGATTTAAGTTATTTTTATATAGTCCCAGTACCAGAGGAAGGCTGTTTCTGAACAATCAGTTTTGAATAACAAGTCTGAAAAAAATCTGAGCAATTTGTAAAATATAGTGTTTTCTGATATTTACTCTTCTATTGTTTTGGCCACTGAGAAACATCTCAATTGAAATTCTTAAATGGTGAGATTTGCTTCTCTTCTGGGAACTAATGACCTTTTAATCTTTTTGTAATACTGTGTGCATCCACAGTCATCTATGTGTGTTTTATGCACTGTGTTTAATTGATTTCCAGTGAAATGCTCTGTAGATAATCTGAATTAACATTGCCTTAGTCCTTATATTGGGACTGGGATTTTTTCAAATAACATTGTGAAAATTTCTTTACTGTTAGGTTTGGTGAAGCCATTTAGGTTAGTTAGGGATTGAGAGAAAACAAGTTTATATTCATTTCTTTTGAATGATCTAATACTAACTCATTGCCCCTTTGCTTTGTTTTCGGTGATGATCATGTGTTCAATCATATAATTCAGTGTTTTTTTTCAAAAGAAAGATCAAAGGAAAGGGAGTAATCTTTTTTTGTTTGTTAAAAATTACAATTGTTTCTTATTTTTTTCATAACTGTATCTATAGTATGTCAAGGCAAAAAACATTAATTTCATTGTGTACTTCAGGAGCAGTGTTTTCTAAAGTAGACCAAGACCTGTATATCAGAATCACTAGGAGTGTTCATCAAGTCTCATATTCCTGGGCCCCATTCTTGGGAAAGGAGGGATAAGGGAAGCTGTATTTTAATGCACTTCCAAAATTCTACACGCTGAAGTTTGAGATCCACTGCTTTAGGGAAATGTCTCAGATCTCTTCAAGCTGTGCATCAAGACTTGATAGACATTACTCTTGGACATTTGCCTCAAATAGTGTATCTTAGGACCTAGCAAAATAAGCTAGGCTTTTTTTTTCTTAAGAAAGTTTACCTAAAAATTGTATAGCCTCCTGGGGGGAATTAGAGATCTTTTGTCAAATTTCTTTTAAAAATATTCAGATTACTACCTCATATCAAACAAATTTATTGCAAGTGTATTATAACATATATGTGCGACTTTTACTGAAATGAATTACTAATTGGTTTCCATTCATGAAAGATAAATATTTATTATGTTTTAGAAAGTTAAAAAAGTGAGGGCCAGAAATGAGACATTACTCTCTTTTCTGTTTTTCCTGAAGATGCCATAAAGTGACTTACATGCCTAACACCATTTATGGTTTTATTTGCTGCCTATATTGGTGCTTTGTGATAACTACAAGTAGTTCTTGTTTTTTTGGAGAAATGATGTCTTTTCAGTTTCTTGCTCTCTATACTCAGTAGTGTTGAGCCACTTTCCTTGGATTATGGGGAAGAGGACAGGGTGGGTCATCATTATAATAAGTACCCAATGGTTATTGTCTGTGGACAGGATGGCAGTAACCATATTGTCATGAGCAAAACACAAGGAACATAGCCTAACAAGTAAATGACTATGAGTACACAAGACTGAACTTAATCCTGACAGAAAAATGGTACTCTATGGAGCTTAATGCTATAGGAATTATCTAAATTTGCTAACCTAGACTGGAGAGTCTCTCCTAGCATTTTTCAAACTCCATTCAGGAGTGGTGATGGGAAAATCATCATTATGGTCAATGTTATGTCATTTATAGGTAACCACTTCTATATTTTACTTCTTTGACTTAGTCTTTAATTGCTTACATTGAGTCAGGGTTTTATTTTTAATTCTTAGGCTGTGATTTGAGAATAATTTGCATTTGAAAAAAATGAAGTATAATGGATTAAATGCTGATTACTCATTCATCAAAGCCTTAGTCATTTATCTGATACAGACTTTGTTAGGAGTCAAAATGGCATTGACAACTGTATCTCTGAGTTTTCATTTGTACATGGTAGAGAATGAACTAGCCATTCTATGGAGCCATGTGCTAACCATGACAGCCATCTAAAAGAAGGAGTCCCTCTACTTCACTCCACAGAATAACTGCAAATATTAAATGAGATAATGTCTTTCCTGGGGGGAAGGAGCAAGGTAAAGAAGAGCTCTCTTTCTTGCCCTGCCTCATTTATTTTACCATTTTTCAGTTTATTTCAGCTCAAATTTATTGTGCTTCCCTATTCTAGCATCATGCTAGTAGTAAGTGTTGAGGAGGTGAAGATTTAGCTCACAATATGTTAAATAAACAGTTTTATTGAAATATAATGCATATGGTATACATTTTATCCACGCAATGTATACAATTCAATATTTTTTTGGATATTCACAGGGTTGACAATATTTAACTTAATTCAAGGCTCATAATGCATTTTTTTACTTCACAATTCCTTAGGTTTAGAAGGAAAACAAACAACTTTCTTGTTCGCATTCCTAGAGCTGCCCCTTCCTTTATAATGATAGTTTCATAACACCACCTTAGCTCTGTTCCTGGGGGCTTACAAATGTAATTTAATTGTTTGCTTCCCATAACCCCGAAAATAGGTTTGATTCCATCATCTGTATAAAGACAATAATATCTAAATATCTAGCATTTATTGAGAACAATTATTATCTCATTTAATATATGTGGAAACTTACTGCTCTGGACTTCATGTTCTTTTTCTCGTCCTTTTTCGCTAGTTATCAACTCTGTAACTTTTGCTACATGCTTCTTCCTCTAGTTACCGAAGCTTGCTGGGTTTCTTTATAAAGGAGAGCTATACAAGCAGTTAGGATTTTAAGCTTTGAAGATTAGTCACTTGACACAACTTTTTATAGGGAGAGAGAATACTTTTGTGCAGATAATGTGAATGCAAGACTTCTGAAGGTCTTTGGCCAAATAATAGTTGCTTCCAACCCTCAGGTCTGATTTAGAAAGAAATAAGAATATTTTCTTTCTATAAACTTTTAGTGTTATTTTCAAGCTAAGATTTGCATTTCTTCCTCAGCTGACAGATCTAGCCCTCCTTCCAATTAGCTGACTTCTCTGTACTGTGAAATAATTCCTGTGCAAATATTTCTGCAATAAACTTGTCCTTCTGTTAAACAAAAGTTTTAAAAAGCCACATGAAAAATGTGTCGCTATGTAATGGGGTATCAGTGGTAAGGTTAAGGAACAGAAAGAAGTTTCTGTAACTTTAGACAGATGTATAGTTTGAAATAAATGATTCTCCCCAAATTTCAGTTCACAAACATATTGGGAGTTGGCTAACTTTCTGCATTGATTTAGATATTTTATATATTTTCTGTGAGCTGTGACCATTGGATATTGAAATAAAGTATTCTACTAGCAAAATATTTTTGTGATGTGCATGTCTTTTAGGCTGTGGAAAGAACATGGCAACAAAAAATGTCCAACTAAAAGAAAAAGTCTACCAATGCTAAAAATTAGTCCTGAATCTGAACTTTTTCAAATGAAAAGTGTAAATGAATAAGAAGTTTAAGTGTTCATTTTTGACATTTGAACTGTTTTATAATTTCAAAAACTAAACAGCTCAAATCTGTAATTTCAGGAAAGTTCTTCAATTGCTTTTTCAAAATTTAGGATTGCTTAATCACAATTATAATTTTATTTGTAGTGACTATATTTACTTTGGTTAATATATTTTATTGGTTCCATCAACCTTCATGTACCGTTCTTCGGAGTTTGGGATTTTTCACTAGTGGTTTTCAAAGAAACCTGTGTTCTAATGACTTTATTTTATTCTATTTTTCTAGGAGACAGAGAATAATAAGTTATGTTCCCTATATTCCTTCCGAAATACCTCTACCTCACCACATAAGCCTGACGAAGGGACTCGGGACCGCGAGACAATGACCAGTGTTACTTTTGGAACCCCAGAACGCCGCAAAGGGAGCCTTGCTGATGTGGTGGACACACTGAAACAGAAGAAGCTTGAGGAAATGACTCGGACTGAACAAGAGGGTATGTGGGGGCTTAACTGTTGGGCTTTTCTTCCCAAGTTTTCAGGTCTTAGAAAATGAGTGGGATTTCAAGGCCAGAGAAGTGCATAACTGGCACTAGGTAGAAAAAATTTATCTGGAGGTTACCATGATGAGAGCAGATTGTGATTCATTAGGAGTGCTAAACAGATAGCTCTACTTTTCTAAAACTTTATACATTTTATTTGGTTTTTATGATAATATATCAAGGTTTTGAAATGACCATAAACATTACCCTGAAAAAGGTATTAAAGGAGTGTTCCTAATTACAACTTTTCATTTTTTTTCTCCCTTATTTCCTTTTGGTTGATAGTGTTTTGTTATGAAAATATAAACTACTTAAAAACCAAAAACAATTTTTAAATTTATTTCTCTTAAATTTTATAAATATGATAAACTTTATTTCTACCTCCAAATGATGTAAAATGGAGAGTTGAGAGCTTCTAATATTATTAAAGATGAATGTTTGAGAGTGAGTGTTGTGCCATGTGACATTTGGTGCAAATTCCTGCATTTAGCTTCTCTACTGTGTGTAGGAGTCCACTCAGGTTTGTGTAGATCCTAGGGAGCAGAAATGAAAGAAGACTCACTAATAATATTTTTAAACACTAAATGAAGTCTGTGGGATTGCTGTGCTATGTATGTTCTTTCAGTTTTTACATATAGGCTTTTGGCCTTAAAATGTAGGGTAATTCATGGATCTGGATTTATCTTTAGCCTTGTAAATTAAAATTCAGACCTGTGACACTACAGGCAAATTCATATTTGATATAATCCCATTTAACCTAATTTTATTCCTCTAAGGACTCAAATGTGTAAGTTTCACATTAATTTTTGTGGAAGTCTTTCTAAAATGTATTGCTTGCTTTCTTGTCTTACTAACCATATCATTTCACACAAAATGTAAATATTTTTGATGACTCAAGGTCATAATGCAGTAGATTAGGAACTGTAATACCTACCTAATAGTACATGACCCTGAATAAATTCCTCAAGCTTTCTGAGCCACAGAATTTAAAATTTGGTGTGGTACTGATTCCTGACTTGGAAACTCAAATATTTTGAGGATTAACTGTAATAGTGAATATAAAAGTCTCATTTGAACTGTAAACTATATGATTTGAGATGTTTTTGATGATTATCATATCATAAATGTCAATTATTATACCATGCTTTAATGTGATGATGTCCCTAGAGATCATTGTTATAATTAAGACTGTTTGACTTTGTGGTTTATCTCTGCAATTATAAAACTTCAGAGTTCTTGTGTCTGCTTGATACATGCATGTATGTATCTATCACATATATGTATACAAACATATATGTATATACTACATATATACATATACATATGTATGTATGTATATACTACATATATACATATACATATGTATGTATGTATATATGGATGTATATATTGTCGTGTGAGTTTGTGAGTCTGGTTTCTTCTTCCATATTGGGTTTTAGGATGTTATTTCTTTTCTAGTTGTGAATAATTGCTAATTTGTTCCTTCCATTCATCTGTAGATTATGAAATAAGATGATCTGAACAATTTTGAACTACACTTAAAATATGAACAAATATGTTCTAGGTGGGTTGCTGAGAGATTCTAAGTAACATAACATGATGTTTAATGTATAAAGTTCATGCTGACTCTGCTGCCCTTTCAGAGCTTTGCTTTTCCTATGGATCACTTTGATAGTCTAGTGAAGCCTAGAAGAATTCCTTTCTTGGAATTGTTTTAAATACATAAAGTATATAAAATTATGAGAGAATGGATTATATTACAACATTATATAATGATATACATGTGATATGTGATATGGTAGAATGTGCTGATTTACTAATACATTAAGGTAAGATCTAATGGAGGGCCTAACAATGTTATAATCTTGAAGTGGTGATATAAAAATACCTATTATAATCTATTGGTAATAATATCACAGATACAATGGTCTGTTGTTTGCATCCATAACTTAAAGAAATGCAAAATTTCAATTAGATATTAGTGAAAAAGTTTTTTTTCCATTAAAGTTTATAGAAACCATTCTTCTATCTTATCCATGGCCATTGGTGTCTGTCTATCCATGACTCTTGGGGTCTGTGGACCTCAGATTATGCTAGATATGCTAGATGATATGGAGTACCCATAATGAACAATAGTTTCTAACTTTAAATAATTCAAGTTATGGTAAATGATCTAAAACATACATCAAGTAAACTTTAGTTCAATGTTTAATGTGTATAATTCCATGAAAGCTTTGTAGATGAAATGTTACAGGAATTTACAAGGTAAAGAGATTATGCCTGCCTAGGAATACATGGAAAGATTCTTATGTGGAAATGAGGCCTACCTGGTCTTGTAGAATGAAAGGATTTATAAACATGAAAATGGAAGGAAGATATATTTCAGGCTGAAGGATCAGGCAGAGAGTTTTAAAACCAGCTAACAGTTGAGGTCCTAATTGAAGGCGAATTTGCATATGGGATGGAAGACTGAAAAACTAGATTGTGTTACCAAGCATGGAGGCCCCCTCGATTTTTGGCTAAGTTTGAACTTTAAATTACAGGTGATGGAAGAACTACTGACCTTTTTTTTTTAGAACACTTTGGTGATAGATTAGTGCTGAAGCACTAATACATGATGTTTTATATATATATATATATATATATATATATATATATATATATATATTTAAAAAGTTAATCTGGCAGCACTGTGTAGGATGGATGGGAGCAGGGAGAGACATTAAGGAAATTGTTTCAGGCCAGAGATAATGAGTGCCTGAACCTAAGGCAGCAGAAATGAGAAAGGAAGGGGGATACATATGGAAAAGATATTAAAAGATAGAATTGTAAGACTCAATGTTTAAGTGTAGAAACCTAATAGAAGTGACTCAAAGATACTTCAAAATTTTTAAAATAAAAAACAAATTCTGGTCAGATTAGAGGATGGTAATATAATTAATAAGAAAAAAGAAGTAGAGGAACATATTTTTGTAAGTAAGAGCAATGGGGATTTCTATTTCTTATTGTGAGTTTGATATTTTGAGTTTGAATGCTAATTTTAATGATCTGCTTGTAGCAATAGAACAGAAAAGCATAATGGGAGAACAAATAATTATAGAAAAGTCATTAAAAGTTTAGGATAGATTTCTGATTCTAAAATAGTTATATTCTAGGTCATAGGAAGAATATTTCCACCAATATTTGCCTTGTTTGACTTTTAAAGTTGTAGGTCCATCTCCATATTTTGGGACATATTATCTCATGGGTCCTGCCATATAAGAACTTTTCTAATGCATTACCTTCCCCTTCTTCACTTCTATTTCATGGTTCAAGGGTCACAGCTTATAATTAGCTGATTGACAGGCCTGTGTGGTTGACATAATAAATGATGACCTTTCTTGAGTCATTTTTGTCTTGGAGTATGTTTTGACTCTATCTGATTAAATACCTTTCCCTTCATGGGGCTCATATGCAAAACTGATCTATACAAAGTTTATTATGGTCCATTTAAAAACAATACTTACATAATAAAATAGTAACTCCTAAGAGAGATGTTTTGATCAACTAAATTATTGTTCAAAGTTTAATCTGCCATTTTTTCAAGAAATGCCTTCCCCTGAGCAGAGATTGCTGAAACACTGAAGAACAAAGGTAGTCTCTCTGAAGTCCCCTGTACCCCTCCCCCAAGTGAGGTTTATGAGGATATAGGCAAGGTTTCTTCCTTTTGTAAATTTAACTTTGACTTAGTGTCATAAATAAATAGGTAGTAGGCAGGTAGATAGATGATAGGTAGGTAGATAGATAGATGCATAAGTGGATTGAATGACTGAATATCAGAATCTACCTTCTAAAACACTGTTGATATTGGTGAGTAGAGTACACAGAAAGGCTTTGATTAATGCGTGCAGGTTAAAATGCCTCCGAGATAAAAATTCTTCAGCTGTGATTAAATGATGGTTTTTAGTTATCTTGTATCACCCGCCTTGTTGCCAGTGTTGCTGGGCTCTAACATAAGCGACAGTTGTCAGAAAATGAATACTTTAAAAAGGACTTCTATATCTAAATACATATATTTAATCAGAGAGTCCTTTGGCTTCTGAAAATAAGTTGTCTAATGAGAATTTCATTTGAGCAGCTGCGCCTGAGGAGGTCAACAGGCACTGCCTAGGAGAATATGGCCCAGCTGGTTAAATCTGGTTGTTGTCGTGATTTAAATGGTCAAGTGCTGCTTGTAATCCAGGACCGTCTGTTTGTAAAGGGAAGAGTGAGTGCTTCAGCATAATGTACAGCTGTTTTAATCTCTCTTTAATAATAGTGCTTTAGCCACTGTCATGTCTTGTGTATCATACTACTAAGTATATTATCCTGGGCTGAGTGGATGGGTGTGAGTCAGGTCTGAAATCATGTGAGACTGCACAGAAAGGGACACAACAATAAGACCCTTGACTGCCCGAAAAACTAGGATTTTTTGGCTCTTTGTTCTTTTATGAGACTATTTTTTGGATAATAATTATTGCAATCTGGAGGGAGTGACAAAGGTTGAAATGTCAGAATGAATAAACTCTCTTTGGTAGAGCCAAAAACCTAATGGGAAGTATGCAGGTTTAGATACAATTCTATAGGACATACATTGGTCAGAAATCGGAGTATGTATTTCTCCTGTGTGCTTCAGGCTATCATGGTAAATGAATACTATGCATGCATAGAAAGGGCAACCGCATATGAGCTTTGGATTCCTGATGGGACAGGCTTTCCAGTGGATTATGCAGCTGTTTCTGAGCATAAGAATGAGCATGTGTTTATGTGTGTATCTGATGGATTACTATTGTTATTTGCATCTCTGAACACTCATTTGGACTTATACATACATTTTCACTGGAGTATAGTTAGGACATATGATGGTGTATTTTGTTCATCTGAGAGCTTTTGCTGTGCCAAAGGAGGTATATGATATAGTTCAAACAATGAGAAAA